AGCGGCTTCACAAGTAGCCACAGCGTTGCAAAGCATAATAAACAGAAGAGAGAGCAACACTTCCATGGAATGAGATGTTGTCCAGGTCACCGAACTCGATGCGAGGAAAGTTGACTACTGCGGGCCAAAATGACATGAAATGTGGGATGTGCAGACATGATTGGCCCGCAGTAGCCAACCTTATCGCAATGATGGACGAGGCAACTATTCCGATGTTTTTTTTTCTAGAATTTTTTTTTGTTCCCAAATTATGTGATCTCTTGCCACCTGACAATACAAATGCAGTCACTCTGACGCACAAAGAGGTTGCTCACTTGCGTGACTTCGCAATTTCAAATCTCTCTCTCTCTCTCTCTCTCTCTCTCTCTCTCTCTCTCTCTTCTTCTCTCTCTCTCTCTGCATGACAAACAACATCACTGACGCACTTGTGGTTCTTATTTCACTTTGATGCATGTGGGAAAAAAGGGGTGATGGCTCCAAGGCCAAAATACGAGGATCTATGCAGGTCTTTGAAAGCCGCGGGAAAGAAGGACAAGTGCCGGAAGAAATCGAGGGCCGAAAAGAAGCAGTCGAAATGTGATGGGCAGAAGCGGCGCCGGCCCCTCTGCGAAAACGGAGCACAAGCGAAGCCGCAAATCCGGATCGAAAGTTACAGTCCCTTCGAGTGCACGGGAGATTTTAACGCTGAAAGAACGTAACGAGTCGCCCCCCTCGACCCCCGTCCGCAGAAAGCGCGGAAGCGGCGCCGAGAACCGTCCGCCAAAGACCCCGGAAAAAAGATTGCGGGATGATAGAAGCGCGACTACGCACCGCAAAACAAAGAAGAGAATATCCTACAAAGACGACAGAACAGTGGAGACAATCGATATTAGAGGGTCTGACGACAGGCACAGCGGACCCCAAGTGGAAGAAGAGGAGGAACACGGCCGTTCCGCGTCAGAGAAGTCGGATGGTGCGGAGGACGAGGAGCCAGGAAACGAGGGAGACGACAACGATTCTTTCCGCAGACAATCGCAAAACACCGATGAGGACGACGACAGCGACGGCAAGTCGGCCAGCGAGAGAACCGGCGAAGACCAGAGCACAGCTTCGGAAAGAGGTGGTTCGCCATTTCCTTCGAGGACGCTGCGCAGAGAAGGAGAACGGCAGGCATGCAATGGCAGCGACACCGAGGAGCGTGTCGGTGACAGACAAATCGTACAGCACGTCAGCGCCGCCGAAAAAGGTAAAAAACCCCGCGTCGCACTGACTCCCCTCCCACTCCGATCACATAATCCCGTGCCCCACGCGGTGCACGCCTTTACGCACGGAGAAGTGTCTTTGTAAACGCACAGCTGATAGCCGAATCTTCAATTTTGCAAGTGCTGTATTCAAAACAAGGCGCTGAGTTGTTAACACTTTCCTGTGCGTTGTGTCTTCTGTTTCCCACCGATCGCAACGTCACGAACGAAAGTGCGCGCAAGCGGCGGAGCCGTGCAAGGACCGAAGGACGAGGGCGCCGCATTCGCGAAGAAAATGAAGGGCAAGCTGTTGCGTTCCGTCGCCAAAGCTTTTGCGTTCTCTGCGGCAAACGACGCAACTCTGTACCTGACAGAAGACGCGTTTTTCGCGGCGGTGCAAGCGACGGCGAAACTGGCAAGGGAGACAGCAGAGGAAGGGCTGCGGTCTCACATAGCAGAGTGCGGGATTCGAATTGTCATAGGGGAATGCAACAGAATGATGACGACGATCCGCGGAGAGATTACATGGCAGCTGAAACATTGGTTTTGGGCTGAAAAAGGGATTCCGCTCGCCGGATCGCAGCAAACGGACCACCACCTCCCCACTCGCAACAAGATGCGCACCGAGATGAAGGAGAACAAGACGTGGAGACGGAGCGGCGACGATCCGTGGGGCGCCCCCGCCTTCAAGACGACACTCTTAAAAGTTTTTCAGATGAGGAAGGAAGGCCGGAATCTGGGCGTCACCCTGCAGCAACTGGCTTTTGCGGAGATGGTCATTCAATGTGAGATAGAACAGACAACGAAGACGACACGAGCTGCGGAGCAGATAGAAAAATTGGTATCTATAAAGCAGGCAATCGTCTCATCTCTCCGTAGCCGAGACACGGTAATGAGTTTTTCCGTCTTCAAACTGGACTGTTCCGTATCCGTGGCTGAGAAGGCAGCTGCGCTCTTTCGCTCTGGCACGCTGTCTGTCCACAGGCCTGGGCCTCCAAGCATCACAATAACGGATGACGATTACGACATCAAGTTCATTCTCCCTCAGAGTACAGCAGCCGGAGACGGGGACAGGCGCACCGACAGTCTGTGCGCCGCACCCTGAACAACGAGGGACAGTTTGGCGACATTTCGACATGGAAGGGAGGATGCGGGGCAATGACTAAACGGTGGAACGAAAGGTTCTTTTTTTAGACGTTTCGAACCAGGAGATGCAAAATCGAAGGC